CAATGAAGAAATAGGAGAGAGTGCAGATGACATAAATATCTGTTCCCAGAAGAAATGGCAGAAAACTTCTCAAGCAGGGAAAAACAACTTGACCTACAGATAAGTGAGACATATAGGACTCCAACTACCCATTATCAAAAAAAACCTACACCTAGGCATATAATAGTTGATTTCAGAAACTCAACAAAAGAACAAAATTCTACAAGCAGTTACAGAAAACAAACAAATCACATACAAAGGAAAGTGCATCAGAATCACAGCAGACATCTCAACACAAGCCCTCAAGGCAAGAAGAGGCTGGAGCGATATACATCAAGCCCTAAAGGAAATCAAACTCAAACCTAGATTGATGTAACCTGCAAAACTATCTTTCAAAATTGATGGAAAAATAAGATACTTTCATGACAAAGAACACCTGAGGAACTTCATAAATACAAAACCAGCACTCCAAAATATTTTAAACAGTATCCTAGGAAAAGACAATGAGAGTCACAACCCTAGGAAGCCCAGCAGAATGAATCCATCAGGCACTCCAAGAAATTAAATGCAAAGGGGGAGAATACCAGAAAAAAAGTCATGATTTAGATAAGTCGATACATACCAGTTATAACTATCAATGTTAATGATCTCAATTCATCAATCAAAAGAAATAGACTGGGAGAATGGGTCAAGAAGGAAGATCCCACAATGTGCTGCTTACAAGAAACATACTGAATTCAAAAACTCATAGACTGAAAGTTAAAGGGTGGAAAACAATACTCCATGAGACAGGAACTTGAAAAAAATGCAGGAGTAGTTAATCTATTTGCAGATACAATGGATTTCAAACCAACACTGATTAAGAAAGACAAAGGACACTACATCCTTGTAAAGAGAAAAATCCAAGAGAAAGAGATGACAATCCTAAATATATGTGCACCAAATACTACTGCATCCAACTATATAAAACAAATATTAATGGACATGAAAAATCAAATAAGCACTAATACAATAGTAGTGGGGACCACAATACCCCACTGTCACAAATAGATAGACCAACTAGACAAAAATAAACAAGGAAATACTTGAACTCAACCGAACTCATGAACAAATGAACTTAACAGATGTTTACAGAATGCTCTACCCAACAAAATCAGAACACACTTTCATTTCAGCTGCACATGGGTTGTTCTCCAAAATAGACCACATACTTGCTCATAGAACAAGTTTCAGTAGGTGCAAAGGAATTAAAGTTATCCCTCATATATTATCAGACCATAGGGTGATAAAATTGGAGATCAATAGCAAAAGAATCCACAAGAATTTCATAAACACATGGAAATTGAACAACACACTCCTGAACAACAAATGGGTCACAGAGGAAATTAAAGAAGAAATCAGACAGTTTCTACAATTAAATGACTAATGTCAATACAACATATCAGAATCTATCAGACACAATGAAAGTAATCTGGAGAAGGAAATTCATAGCAGTGAATACTCATTTTAGGAAGACAGACCAAGCTCAAATAAATACCCTGATGCTGAACCTCAAGCTTCTAGAAAAAGAAGAGCAGGAAAAGCCCAGAGCTCATATAAGGGAGGAAATTATAAAGATCAGAGCAGAAATCAGTGCAATGGAGACTAAGAGAACGATATAAAAAATAAATGAAGCAAAGACTTGGGTCTTCGAAAGAATAAACAAAATTGACAAACCCTTAGCCAACCTTATCAAAAACGGAAAGAAAAGGGCTGGAGATTTAGCTCAGTGGTTCCGCTGCCTGCCTGGCAAGCACAAGGTCCCAAGTTCAATCCCCGGTACCAAGAAAAACAAAAAAAGGAAAGAAAAGACCCAAATCCATGAAATTAGGAATGAAAGTGTGAAATTACAAGAGACCCAGCAGAAATCCAGAGGATCATCAATACCTACTTCAAGAACCTAAATGCCAATAAAATGGAAAACACAGAAGAAATGGACAGACTCCTAGACATATATGAATTACCAAAGTTGAACAAAGGAGACCTAAAAATTCTAAACAACCCAATATTAATCAATGAAATTGAAAACATGATGAAAAACTACCAGCAAAGAAAAGCTCAGGTCCTGATGGCTTCACTGCTGAGTTCTACAAGACATTTGGAGAACTATTGTCACTACTGTTTCAGCTCTTCAATGAAAATGAAAAGGAAGCAATACTCCTAAATTCATTCCTAGAAGCAAGCATCACCTTGATCCCAAAAGCAGAGAGAGATCCAACCAAAACAGAGAACTGCAGGCCAATCTCACTAATGAACATAGATGCAAAATTCCTTAATAAGATACTGGCAAATAGAATGCAGAAGATCATCAAGAAAATCATACACCCTGACCAAGTGGGATTCATCCCAGGGATGCAGGGATGGTTCAACACATGCAAATCAATAAATGTAAAACATTATATTAAAAGAGCCAAGGGAAAAAACCATATGATCATCTCAATAGATGCAGAAAAAGCAATTGCCAACATCCAACACACATTCAAGTAAATATCCTACAGAAAATTGGAATAGATAGTCTTTATCTCAACCTGATAAAAGCCATCTATGAAAAACCAACAGCTAATATCATAATAAATGGTCAAAAACTGAAATCCTTCACACTAAAATCAGAAATAAGACAAGGATGTCCACTTTCACCACTCCTGTTCAATATACTTCCAGAAACAGCCACACCAATTAGACAAGAGGAAGAAAGAAAAGGAATAAAGATAAGAAACAAAGAAATTAAATGTCATTATTTGCAGACGCTATGATACTCTATATAGAAGACTCCAAGAACTCCACCAAAAGTCTTCTAGACTTAATAAGCAAATTCAGTAGAGTAGCCGGATACAAGGTCAACACATAATAACCAATAGCCTTCCTGTACATGAACAACAGACTCACTAAGAGAGGAACTGGAGAAACAAGTCCCTTCACAATAGCATACCAAAAACTAAAATACCTAGGAATCAACTAATGAAAGAAATCAAAGACCTCTACTCTTAAAACTATAGCACTCTGAAAAAAGATATCAAAGAGGATATAAGAAAATGGAAAGACATCCCTTGCTCCTGGGTAGGAAGAACCAATATAGTGAAAATGGCCATACTTCCAAAATTGCGCTATAGATTCAGTGCAATCCCAATTGAAATTCCAACAACATACTTCACATAACTTGAGTGAACAATCCAAAAATTCATTTGAAACAAGAAGAGACCTAGAATAGCAAAAGAAATTCTAGGCAATAAAGACAAGGCAGGGAGTATCACAATCCCCAACTTGAAATAATACTACAAAGCTACTGCGATAAAAACAGCATGCTTCTGGCAAAGAAACAGACCTGAGGACCAGTGGAACCAGTGAGAAGATGCAGAAACAACTCCAGACACACTCAACCACTTCATCTTTGACAAAAGAGCCAAACACCCTCACTGGAGGAAAGATAGCCTATTTAATAAATGGTGCTCCACAAATTGGGTTTGAACTTGCCAACGATTAAATCTAGACCTGTATCTCTCACCATGCACTAAACTAAAATTGAAAGGGATCAAAGATCTAAACATTAAAACAGAAACACTAAACTGGCTGGAAGAGAGGTCGGGTAGAACTCTTGAAGACATTGGCATAGGAAAAGTTTTCATGAAGAAAACCTCAGTTGCAGGTTGACCAGCACAAAGAATCAATATGTGGGATCTCTTCTTATTAAAAAGCTTCTGCACAGCAAGAGAGACTACCAACAGGGTGAAGAGACAACACACAATGTGGGAGAAAACTTTTACCAGCTGTTACTCAGACAAAGGTCTACTATCTAGAATATATAAAGAACTTTAAAAAATCAGACCTCCCAAATTTAAAGATCCAATCCAAAAATGAGCATCTGAAATAAAAAGACATTACATAGACAAAGAATTAGAAATAGCAAGTAAACTTACAAAAAAAATGTTCAACATCACTTGTCACTCGAGAGATGCAAATGAAAAACAACACTGAGATTCCACCTCACCCCAGAAAGAATGGCTGCTATCAAGAAATCAACCAATAACAAATGCTGGCGGGGTTGTGGGGAGAAATGAACCCTTCTCCATTGTTGGTGGGAGTATAGACTGGGGCAACCACTGTGGAAATCACTATGGAGATACCTCAAAAAAAATAGGATTAGATGTCCCATTTAACCCAGCTATTCTTCTGCTGGGTATCTTCCCAAAAGAATTAAAAGAGTCATACCACAGTGATATATGTGCACTCATGTTCCTAACAGCACAATTCATGACAGCTAAAACTTGGAAGCAGCCCAACTGCCCATCAACTGCAGACTGGATAAAGAAGGTGTCGTTTTTTTATAAAATGGAGTACTACTCGGTCATAAAGAATGAGAAACGAGACATTTATAGCTAAATGGATGCAAATCGAGGACATAATCTTAGGTGAAATAAATAGGACACACATGTAAATATGAAATAGTTTCTCTGGTGTGAGAAACTGAAAGTGTAAATAAGGATCAAAATGTATAATAGATAATTTGAAATAGGAATAAAAGGTGCAAAGGGGAAAGTGGGGTAAGGGAAAGGAAAGAAGGGAAAGGAATAAATAAGAGAAAAGGAAAAAATGGAAATAAAGTCTTTGTAAATTGGGAGAGATGGAGGGTTTGAAGGGAGGGCAGGGAAATGGGGGAAAAATAAGAACCAAGATACATCATGTACAGGTACAAATTTCCAATGATGAATGTCATCATACTGCATACCTAAATGTACCAATAAACTTAATGAATTAAAAAAAACAGATTTACAAAGATGAAACATTCTTTTAAAATATATTATGATCAGTTCAGCTTGAAAATATTCTATCTTTAAAGCAATGATACACTGTTTAATTTTAATGTTTCATAATATAAAAGCTATAAAAGAATGAGCAAACTAAAAATATATTTATTCATACTTTAAAATGCTTAGAGAATTTTACAACATAAAATAGTAACAGTTAATTAGATAATAATTACATACCAGAGCAACTCCTGCATCATACTTTTTATCACACATGTATCCTGGAAATGTGGCTCCTATCAGGGTAGGGTGTTTCTCAAAACTAAAAATTAAGAATTTTACTCATAAGTACATTTTAAAGTAGTATTACTAATGATAAGTTTCATAGTAGTATACATTACTGAGCTATGACTAACTGAAGCACCATACTACTCTGAATTATATTATTTTCTCAAACCTTCAGTGTTAGGAATATTTCAATAAAAAAATTTTGAATGATTAACATTAAGGATCATAAAGACAAGACCTAATAATTTATACAAAATGTCATTGCATTAATGGTTATAGTTTTCATTCTGGTTTCTTCAACATTTCTGCTCTAAAAGTTCAACTTTCTATGAATAAATATTTATTTAATAACTATGAATATTTTTGCACATTAGATTCTAGAGCGCATGACAATTCAATGTATTTATTTTATGAGGAAATAAAAGTATAACAATTAGATAAAAGACAGGAATATAAATTTTAATAACAGGTAATGAAAGATTTTAAGCCAAAGGAAATTATACCATTTTTTATTAAATTTTTTGTCATTTCATTTCTTTTTACATAACTTTACAGTTTTAATTATTTTTTAAAGATTTATTGTGGTAGAAATATAACATGCAGCCTGCCCTCCTAAATTTTTAAGTGTATGGCACAGTATTGGTAAATGTAAGCACAGTAATATACATTGGCTCTTTTGCTAATTTTATGTTGTTTGATAAAAAATTTTTAAAGTTTGCCTCACATTAGCTCCTTGAAGACAAGAAGTCTTTTTCACAAGCTATGTTATCTGTAAATTTGTAGAATGCAATGTATGCAAAGTAAATGCTTATTTTTCATAATTAACATAGTTATTTTAGGTTATTCCTTTAATATTATAAGAAGCAGAATATTACACTTACACTAATAAGTATGAAATATGATGTGGTTTAGGATCAACATGTTGATGTTTCCATTCTAAAAACCTAAATAAAACATCATCTGGATGTCCTGTAGTAGCAAATTTGTTTGTATTTGACCAGAGTTCAATGGCAGATATTACAACAGTCAGTTTTAACTGGGTCAGCATCTAAAGGGAAAAAATAAATGAGAAATTTTAAATAAATTTGAAAATTAAATTTCATAAAATATATTTAACATAGTATTTTGATTACAGAGTCTTCAAGAGCTCAGCAAAATACTACACACATCAGTTCATAAATTCTGTATTTTTACAATCTATATCAGTAAAATGATTTTTAAAACTTACAGTGTTAACAAAGCCAATGAGCTGAATAACCTTCTCTGTTACAGTCTTTACATCAGACCCCATGTAATCAAACTGAAAAAGATAAATTATTATTAAAAACAAGTGGATGTAATGAATATGTCACATTTCTTTACACATACAATTGCTGGACTCAAAAGTAGCCATAAGATTATATTCTAATAGAAATGCAGAAAATTTAAAAATGGTTTATAAATACTGACTTAAGAAAAGTATTCAGTAACGCTACTTTTAAAAAGTTTAATGCATTTGAGATTGAGAGTCAGATGGTGTGAAGATGCTCTAGTGATTATATCCCCATAGTGACACCAACTTAAACAGCTGTTCATGCACCAATCTACCTTCTCAAGAGCTGAGGATACCCAGTGAAAAACCACAATGTTTGGTTTCTGTACAATAATAATAAAACCAAGGCAAGATAAAAATATTCACAAATGTATTTGGAAACTTAAACACTTCTCTCAACAACTTCTAGAACACTGTAGAAAAAATTACCAAGAATCGAGAAAAACTTCAGCAATACCACAAATCTACATTATCAGCACTTACCTAACCTTTTCCTATACAAAAGCTGAACTCACTTATTTTTAAGCAACATATACCAAAGTGGATCATATCTTTGCCCCTAAAATTTACCTCAACAAATTTAAAAGAATTTAAATCATACAGACTGTTTTACCTAATGACAATAAAACAAAACAAAAAGAAATAAAGATAATAGGAAATATATCCAAACACTTTGAAACTAAACAACACACTTCTTAGTAATCCATGGATCAAAGGAAATTTTAAAAATACAATAGACAAAATAAAATGAAAATATCAAAATTTATAGAACAGAGCAGTGATAAGAATTGATAACATTAAATACATACATTTTTCCAATACTACTACTTATATGGTTGGAACTATAGATCAAATTTTATCTTTTTAAGCAAATTTTTCTAATACTAATAATTATTAAAAATCTGTCTTTATCATCTAGATTGCTTGATTGATAGGCTGAATTTATTTTGTGGTCAGTACTAGGAACTGAACCCAAGACTTTCAAACTGAAATGCATCCCCAGCCCTTTTTAAAAATTTGTTTATTCTGAGACAGGGTCTCACCATGCGCAGGCAGGAGTTGAAATTGTAATACTCCTGCCTCAGTTTTCCAGAATAGTGGGATGAAAGGGTGGTATTACCACACTCAGCTTCACCCACTAATTTTTATATACCATTTTTATCAAGCTAAATAACCTTAGATCCATTTCTAGATTTTTTAATTGTTTATTTTATGTGAGTCATTCTGTTTATCTCTATTAATTAAAATGATCTATACAATGTTTTAATCTGGTATATCACCTTATTTCATTTTTATTCAGTACTTGCTAATCTACTCTTACATGTTGTTTTTATGTGAACTATTTTTTCATTTTGCCAATAATATTTAATGTGAGATTTATCCTCAAGGAAAATTTAAATGCAGCATACTGCATTATTGGCAATAGGCACTATATTGTAGAGCTGATCTCTAGAATTTATTCATCCTGTATAACTGAAATTTTGAACAGCAGCAATTCCCTGTTTCCCTAAACTCCTACTGTCCCTGGAAACATCATAATCAAACCATTCATGGATCATCTAACCTAACATAATGTCCTCTGGGTTCACCACTGTCGCATGATACAGGATTTCCTTCTTTGTTGAAGCTGAATAATATTTCATTGCATGTATATACCACATTTTCTTTGTCTATTCTTCCGTTGATGGATACTTAAATTGTTTCCTTATCTTGGATACTGTGAAAAAATGCTTCAATAAACACGAGAGTGCATATATTATTTTGAGATTGTGATTTCAATTATGTGGGTACATATAGAGAATTGTGAATGCTACCTCATATGATAATTTTTTTAATTTTTTAAGGAGCCTCCCCATATTGTACAATGTACATTGTACAATCACCATTGTACAATGGATATTTCCTTTGTCCTGATTCTCACCAACACTGACATTTTTTTCTCTTCTTCTGGTTAATTACCAGTTTAACAGATATGAAGTGAGATAACTTGCATTTACAATTTTCTGATGATTAATGATCTTGAGCATCTTGTCACATACTGTTGACCATTTGCATGTCTTAATGCTCCCAGGAATCTAGTTTTTTCTTTCTTGCAGGAGAAAAAAATCTCTTTCTGCCTCAAATGTCTGACCAGTTCTATTAGTGCTGTCTGTGAGGTAAAATAGAAACTCAGACGCTTAGTGGTGTGCTACAAGGCTGGAGATGGCAGAACCATACCCCACTATTTCCTTCATGCTACCAAAGAAGAGGCCACAGTGCTGCACCTTCTTTGAACCTTGCAGAGCTGTACTTACCATAGCTGCTTGGCATCTGGACCATACTAGTTTCTTCAGTGCCCTTGGTGAGGTTGTGCAGAAAATAGCCTCTCAAGAGTTGCAGTGAAAGTCTAGGTACAATGGTATCATAAGCTATATTCCTACTTTCCCCTTGGATTAGAGACTTCAGTTCAATGCCTGCTCTACTCCTCACAGATTTGTGCTGGCTGCAAAAGATGCCAATACCCCTCACTGCCCCAGCCCTCACAACTGTGTCAGCTCTTTCAACCTTCTACATGAGGTGAGCCAGAAGCCAGCCCCTCAGGGAACAAAGAAAGGCCATCAGTCTTGAACATTTACCAAATGCTCCTACCACTCCACAAAGAAGGAGTTATGTTTCTCTTGGTTCTAAGCCATGCTAGCTTGGGTGAAGGGCTGATGCACATAAAATGAAATTGTTCTACTTACTTGTTTCTTTGTGGTTTATCTTGGTATTGCTCTTATCTGGGATACTGTAACTTTTTAACTGTATTCTGGTCTTCTCATGAAAATATTTTATTGCTATGTCATTGTGAAATCTTCTGGAGTAATGTTGTTGGTGACGTCCCATCCTCCAACCTTACTGACATCACTTCCCCATGTGAACTTTTCCATACCCAAAATAATAGTTTATTACAATTAATATTTTATTTTATTACATTTAATTTTTATTTTATCACAATTAATATTTTTATTACATTTATAAATTAACTTGGGGAGAATGCATTTCTTTAAATTGTTGGTCCTTTCTACCCAAGAACATAAAAACTTTTTAATTGTTTATGTTTGTGTATCTTTCTGGAATGTTATAAAGATTTCCAAATACAGGATTTACATTTTTCTTCTAAGCATCCCTAAGATTATGCTTTTATTGCTGCTGTTAAAAGTATATTTTCATTCATTTTATATATATTTCATGTTTGTTATTCCTTTACTACTGTCAAACCAACAATATTTCTCATAGGAAAGAAAGAAAACTCCTGCAGGTGGACATTTGCCAATTTGTAGTTGATTTCCTGTGGTCTTATAATAAAATAGGTTTCAAAACTTTTATATTTGGAAAAAATCTGTCCTTTTCCAATGAACATATTGATATCCTGCTCTTAAGTGCCATTCTTAACTTCTTTACATCTTCAATTTTAAGAGGGATAATTAATCCTTTTTCCAAAAGTTTCACTCCTACATGTGGTATGAAATTTCTCACTGCTCCACATCTATGAAACCATTTATAATTTTAAATAGTATCAAATTTATATCATTATCTCATTGTAATTTTCTCTTTGAAAGAAAAATAATAACATACAAAGTGGACACAAGTTAAAAGTATACAGTTATGTCCATGTTCACAAAGCTTTGAATTTTGGAACATTTCAAATTTTGGATTATTTGATTAATTAAGTTGAACCTATTTTTTAAAATTATTTATTTTGTAAGCTATAAAATGTGTATAGCTCAACTGGTCACTACAAAGTATGTGAAGATGTTTATCCAGCATGTAGATCTAGAAATAGACCAGACCCAAGATCCCGAAGAGTGGCTTATGGCTCCTCCCAAATACTATTTGCTCTCTATCCTCTTCCCCAACTTTTAGAGATTAGTATTGATTCTTTTTTTTTGGCACCGGGGATCCAAGTCGGGACCTTGTGCTTGCGAGGCAGGTGGCAGAACCATTGAGCTAAATCCAATCCCCGGCCCTAGTACTGATTCTTTTTGAGACTTATACATGTAATCAAAATTTAAATTTTCCTTTTTGAGTGGCCTCTTCTGCTCACTGGTTGAACTACATCATATGGTTTTACAAACATCAATAGAAAGGATCATGGGACTTTTCCATTTCTTCAGTTAATTTAATATTTTTCTGGGGATTTGTGCATCTAATATATGTACTTAATCCTGTAAAAAGATAAGAAAGGCCTCAGCTTTGCCCATGAGATTGATATTAATATTAACTACATGTGCTTTGAAATCCTAGTTTTAAAAAAACATAGTAAGAAAATTGGTTAAACAGTAATTTCATACAGGAAAAAAACGCATAGCATTTTTAAGATAGCTTTATCAACAAGAGACAATTAATTAGACTAAAAATGTTTGAGATTGATAAAAGTGTAAAAAGGTCTCTGTGCTCCAAACAAATACATAAATTGCTTTTGTTTTAAGCCACTGAATTTTGGAGTGGTTTGCTTTTCAGGAATGGATAGCTTAGTTTACAGTTATCTGACAGTCTACTTTCTCTGAAAGTAGTCTAACTACATCCGTTTTAAAATTTGTGTTTTTATGCTGTATTTTTTCACTCTTTTGAGTTCATTATTTCTATAGTATATTTTAGTATGTCGGTTGTAAACAGAATGCACGTGTGTATGCTGTATGACTTTTTCTCTGCTTTTAATCTTTTTCTTCAGGTTTTGATTGCACCACTTATTCCCTCTCCATTTCATATCATTATTGACATATATGAGTTTAAGCCTCTCATCTCAAACATAACTTTTAAATTTGTCTCACATTTACAAGACAGGTGCTAAATGTATAATGTATTTCTTCCTGTTCATTACTTTTTTTCAGGATTATGCTTAAATTTTTGCTTGCTTTCTCCTAATTATTTTTGCAATTTTATAAAAATACAGTCATAGGATGTGCATTGGTTTTATAGTGGGTCTATTTATCTCTACTAAAATACACCCAATGCTTTAGTGAACCATCAACTTCAATTTTTGCTACTACTGTTAACATTTAGCTCAGCTTCTCTGACTCATATTCCCTTCTTCTGGAAGCAACAGATTTTATTTTATTTTAAATGTTTAGTATCTGATTGTTTTCTGGATCTAAATCTTTTTTTTTTTTTGCTAACCATCTTCAATGATGATTTACTTTCTATGGATTATAGGGTCATATATGGCTGATATTAATCTGTAATAAACATGAGGCATCATGCTTGAAGTGTCATTCTTCCAGAAATAAATACTGCTTTCATCCATCAAACAACATGGGCCAAATGTAGCCTCATGGATTAGAATCCTAACCACATATGCTAATTATACTCAAAGCCTTAATCTATATGAGATTTGAAGTATAGTCATGAATTCTTACTATAATAATTTTATTCATTTGTTTTTCTTTTTCTTTCATTAATCTAGAACTGAGAATTTAAAAAAGATAATGAGTTTTCTCCCTTTACTTGGAAATAGTAGCATATCTGTCTTAGTGATTATCTTTCCAATTAGGGCGACGTAGTTAAATATTACTATTTTAAGTAGGGTTTGAAGGATTAAAGGGGTTGTAATCTATCCTCTCACTGAGGCTGATGCCACTTTGACAAAAGAAAAATAGAAGACTTAGGAAATTAAGATGCTTCATCTTCAAAAAGAAACTAGAGATCTTATCCATAAAGGAATTAATAAATTTCTTTTAGTCATAATTTTTATAATGTATAATTTGGAAATGCAAATTAAAAATGGTAGATTTCCATTGCATCATTACAATCAAGTTAAAGACCAATAATAAGCAAATTTAAAATAATAATGAAAAGAATAAGACATACCAGATTTTTATCCACAACAATATACATTTCAATGTATCGAGGGAATAACTTGGTAAATTCAGTTTTCTGAAAAACATACAAAATGCTCCCTGAGGTTTTAACAAAACTTTACCTTCTACTGAAATTATATTCAGAGACAAGCTTACTGAGTATATAATAGGGCTGTTTTCAAATATAAAATTTAGGTACTAATCTGAGGATTCTATTTCAAAAAGAGACTTTTCAAGCTATAAAGGAACTCGGGTATCTTTTATTGTTGTAATACTTGAAATAAAATTTTAGGTTTAGTAACAAAAACATTCCTTTTCCTATCTTTGTGATAATCTACCTACTAATCATCTCTATATTAGTATGATTAATCATTTAATTGTATTAATATTTATATTTGTCTATAGTCTTAATCACTTATGTATTAGTATGACTAATAATCATATCAATATTTGTATTAGTATTACAGATTTACTATTCCCAATTATAAGGAATCTAATTTTAGCAAACAATATAGTTTAGAAAAACAAAACTAAAGTTTGCAATCAGGGGTAGTTCACAAGAGAAAGATATGTTATTTATGACAGTTTACAGGTATTTGTGGAGAAAAAAGTCATCATTTTATTTTACATGTACCTTAGGTAAGACACTGAAATTATACATTTTTGAACTTTCATGAAACAAGCATTTAATATTTTGATCTGAATTATCTCAGTAATTGAAGAAAAATAATATATTATATTCATTATCTAAAAGTCCACCTGTGAAAAAGCTTTAATGTATTTAGTCCTATATGTATTTCTAAGATTAATTCATCACCTAAGATTTTGGTAAGCTTGTGTCTAATGGCAAGCATAACAATAAACATAAATTCCCTTACCAGCCATTTAAAGCCATGTAGGCTCATGAAAACAGTAATGTTAAGATTACCGAGTCAGCAATCAAACCTGGATGTGGAAACATTTTTTATTTAACAAAACTATACAAAGCAAGTAGAGTTAACACTTACATGTAGACTGCTTCTCACTTGATTTTCTGTATTATTAAGCCAAGTAAAAGTATCATTTTCTCCAAAGAGAGAAACATGAGTGTCATCATTGTTTTCTTCATAGATCATGTGCATAAACCCTGATACAGCCTCCAATGGTTCAATTCCATAAGAGATGTTTTCGATTCGCATTACTCCTCTGAATGTAAATTAAAGAAAGTTTGAATTAATTTTCCAAAGCTATAATCTAATTTTTATGAGAAATTTTGGCCAGAATTTTTCTGTAAGATTCAAAGTCACTTTCATTTTTTCAACTTTATCTCTTTGTTCTTGGAAGTTTTATGCCAGAAATAGACCACTATACCACAAGACATGTGTTGTTTTTTATTACAAATCTTTTTTAATATTATATTAAAGAATGCACAATAATGGCATAGGTTTGTGTTCTTACACAAGTTGAACTATGGTCAACACACGTTGGTCCCTTTCTGGACGTGTCTGTAGCATATGTAGGCACTCTCTTCTTTAGTTTTAGGACCCTTATATTTGTTACCTAAGGTTCATGTAAAATAAAGTGATGAATTTTTACTCCACAAGTATCTATAAACCTAACTCTCCTCTGATACCTATTGTTCTATATCTTTTGTTTATGTGGACTAACTGAAGTACTACACGCCTAAACATGACAGCCAAAATGTCTATAGGTTCAGGGTTTCTAGAACTATAAATAATTCTAGGAAGTTAATATTAGGGCAAAAACAAAATTTTGGAAAAGTAAAGAAGCATAGAGAGACCAATCTATACTCCCTACATCCAAGACTTCTCAACGCTTAGAGAGCAGATCCTGTCAGGATCAACAAGTAGCCTCTTATCAGGAACAGACTGCCGGGGTGACCAATTCTATTTTATTACAAATACTGATTGAATCCTTATGGAACTGAAATAGAAAGGTGGTAATAAAATTAGGATGGATAATTGAAGGATTAATTCATAGGCCATAGGCTAGCAGAATGTCACATAGGCAAATTACATTATTGTTAGTATACAACCTGAGTCCTGAACAAGTCATTAATGTCACAACAGAATGTGGGAAGCCTGTGATGTATCCACTATAACTGCAATCCATCTGCAAAAAGAACACACAAACATAAGCAAATGGATGACTTATTTTTGAAGTGCATACCCCAGATATGTGATTTACATTTATTTCTTTAGCTATCTTAATATTTTAATATGGTTGTCAATTATTGGATGAATTTGTGTCAGGCAGAAATAAACAACAGCACAATATATTCAATTTCGTTGGATGTGTAAAAGAATATTCTTGTACACGTAGACTATTCCTATTTTTAAATATACAATAACAAATCTGTAAGACAAATACCTAATACTTACCTGAGGTAACAAAGGCTGAGAATGTTGGGTGCCGTCTTTGTCATATGAATAAACAACAGAAGCTGAAGATAAAAATGATCTAGGCAAAAATCACAAAAACATGCTCAAATGAAAAAAAGTAGAAAAAAATTACTTTTCATGTACACATTCTCTATGTACTAAGGAATTTCAAGTAGGATCAACTACTTGAAATGGCCTATTGTCCAAATGTTTCCCTGTCACATAAACTACATACTGAGGGTGGCAAATTAATATAGTGACACATCAGACTAAAATGCAGATCAGTGAACAATTCAAATAACTAGTTATCTCAAAGTGCCAATTTTAGAGCTTTCAAATATTTGTCTTCATCATTCATTGATTTCAGATGTTATATTTGAATCTCAAAATTAAAATGCAGGGTTAGGACTAAATTTTAAAAGGTTTGCTTGGTCTCACTACAAATTCATATCTACTAAGCTTAGCTCAGTCCTGACTTCCTTGAATAATCTTGATCAAAATCTCCTCTCAGTCCCTTCAGTAATTATTCAAAACCTTGACACCATCCCCATCATCTATCCACATGACTGGTTTTCAGATCATGTGCCCACCCTCACTTCTTTTCCCAGATAATTACTTTTTATTTAAAGCCAATATTTACACCTGTGCTACAGAGCCTATCCTATTCCATGAACTAAAGATATGCACTTTCTCTCCTACAATTAGAAACGCTCTCTCTCTACTAGCTTTTTACATTAACACTATTTAAAAAGTTGCATTCAAATCCTGACCATCCTAAATAACTACCCCCAATCATGTCAAGTCTTACCATTTCTATGCTCTTTATTTTTTTCAGTTCTCAAGTGATTTTTATCCAGAGTAGTCTACATATACATACTCCACTTTCTCAAATCTTATTCATCCCAAAACTTCTCTGGAGAGTATCTATAATCACTAGTATGTCAGATTTGAAGGATGTTTTTTAAATCATTACTGTAATGGGCTTCTAGCTTCTATTTAAAAACTGTGAATGCCCAGTCCAATCACTTAATTTATATTACACTTGACTTTTCTGCTATTCTTCTGAGCTCTGTGATCTCTCTAGCTTTATCTTTCAGGTTGGCTGCACTTAATGTTCTACCTATCCCAGAAATGTTAGTCTTTCCCCAGGTTTAAACTTCAGCTACTAACCTATTTATAAACACTCTATGTGTGCACTCTCGTGAAAATAGTAATAATACTGTGACCACGCTACTGCTTACTGTTAAATCTATATCCCTATTGAAATTCCACAGAAATTCAAATTCCTATATTCACCCATCCAGTGTAAAAAGCTTATTTGGATATCATATAGGCACCAAAATCCATACCCACTCATTCCTCACACAAATATCTCCCTTGTTCACATCCCTCATTTAATTGCACCATAACCTAATCCTTTTTCTTGAGCAACAACCAAATCATCTGTGGTTCCTTCCTGTTTCCCAGTCAATCTACCAAATCCACCTTGAGGCCTGAGGAGCTTTCCTTTCCAGTGCTGTAACAATGAGGCCCCATCATTACTCACCTAAACTATTACAGTCATGTACTTAGTCACCCTACTTCTGCTCTTGATTCCTAAATAGAAGCCTGGAAGACCCAACTTGACATGATAAGTACATGATTAAAACCATTTTGGGCTCCCAATATCCTTCCTGTGTCATTATACATTTTATACAGCCTGGTCCCCACCTACTTTTCCAGAATCTTTCCCCTCTATCCTTCAAAAAAATATATCATTTAGTGATTCAAGATTGAATTTTATATGTCCAAAGAGCCACTCTGTCTCACATCTCCTTGTATTGCAAATGATTTTCTCTCTAAATAATATGGCTTCCTGCCCTACTTTTTCCTGTACATAGCTAGCTATGTACCTTCCCTCAATACATAATCATCTCTTTTCTTTTTCCAAAAGCCTTCCCAAACTTCCAAAGAATATTTCTTACATACTTATCATATTATAATAAAATTCCATTTCTCTATTAATGGATCTGAATATTTGTTTCTCCATTCTGTTTGTTTTATTCTCTTTTTATGCCTAAGACTTTCCCTAATAACCACTATAAAATAGCTATCAATGTATTTAAATTGAAATTATGCTAATTATAACAATTTTAAAAATCAAGAAACCAAAGAATTGAAACTTTTAAAAGCAAAATACTTTTTAAAATACTTACTGTTTTTTAAGATGGACAAAATACGGTTTTCCTTTTACTGTGATGATATAAGTAACCTGGAACAAAAGTATCCCAGAAATCCAATAACATAAATAATATACACTAAATTATGTATTTGCTTTAACTTATGCTTTAAAAGATTGACAAAATTAATAATAATATGTAAGCAACTGTATCAGTGTCCTTTCCTATGTGGATATTTGAAGCTTCAAAATTCTAAGCTGCGAACTAGGTATAAGACATGTCTGCCTGCGAATCTATAAAGAACTTCAAAAGATCAGACCTCTCAAATTTAAAGACCCAATCCAAAAATGGGCATCTGAAATGAACAGACATTTCTCACACAAAGAAGTAGAAATAGCAAATAAATA